GTTTATTCTGTCAATTATGCTACGTTACAAATTATGTTTAATTGCCCGTGTGTCTGCGATACAAGGAGAAACCCCCGGGCGGTTTTTAATTAAATTTTCAGGTTAAGAAACGGACCGACCAGTCCCCCGTTCGCGCTCCGCCACGGGGTCTTTAATTTAGTGCGTACATTCCAAAACTGGATTACTCGACCGGTTAGGCTCCGACGTTTTAATTACACGCGTAATGCTAGTTAATCGCTCGCGAAGTTGCTCTACCGGCGCGAGCGCGCGTTTTCGTTCAACTAGGGACACAGGTTTTATCAGGTCGATGTGTCGCTACATATTTTACATATAATCCACAATTAGCGGAGAATAATATTTGGTACACAACCGGTGCAGATTTGGACAGAGAAAAACTGGTTAACGAAAAATAGTCAAAGTGTACGCATTCTGTAAACAAATACAGCAGCTACAAATTTATTCAAATGTAAACTGCGCAGTATAAAATATTTCATGTATATTTACAGCAATGTTGTAATGCTATAGTTATATTTTTAATATCGCAACTGCCTGATTGAGTAATGTTGCATTTACAGGTTATTTATATTGAAAATGTATGTTAATTTAATTCTGATTTATATATTTAATATCATCTTATTCGTGGAATGTATTTACAGATTTATTAAACGGAATTTGTACATATGAAGCACTCATTGAACTAAATGGATTGGATTCCCAATAATTAATTTTAATACCGACGCTAAATAAACTTAATTGGCTTGGTTTACACGAATCATTTCATGCACGTGTGTATAATTTTAACGCAGAGTACTAATTGGTTTTTGGTCGTAGCCTTTTTAATATCGATCAATTTTTAAACTTCAAGTACTCTTCTCCCTCTGAAAAGTAATTATTGAAAAAGTGGATAGGAAAATTATTTTCCACGTATATCCAAATTTCGGCTTTCATGGGCAATTCTGTACAATTTTTTTTACTTCCTCGTTGAACTTTTACATATATCTATGAATGTAATTATTGAAAAATATATTGCGAAAATTAATTGAATCCAAAGGTTTTCTTACTACTGAATAATTCAGCAGTGAAACTATTAAAATGTAAACGGAAAAGTGATAATAAATGGGGATTGGGAAATTACCTTTTCTACGGGATCGCATCTATGTTAGTGTTACATTAACTATTCATGAAACAACAGATTGAAATAACACCGTATATTACCGTCTAGCTTCTATGTTAAACTTCGTTAGGCAAACTAGACAGGCAAATACGCGAAGCTTGGAACACACAAACATTATAACCAATCAAATAAATTGTATGTACACTCTGTACAATTGAACACACGATTTTGGGAGCGTACGTTAATATTGGATTAATGTTAACTTAATGATGTGAATACGTACTACCATCACAGTAGTTTCCAATTAATAACCCTTTAATAGGAACACAGTTCATCGGTGATAATTTCCCCGCATTGACCATATTTATACTCAATTACTTTTTCCATCTTACAGGCATCTATTTTAATTTCATTGTTTCCATTGTTTCGCATAGACTGAACTTTCTAGCCCCGTGAAACTCGATAAACGCGATGATTACATCAACGATGTGCATGAAATGCGTTACATCAACGATAATGCGCGATAACGGTGAGAAGGAGTCTTCCAGGAACTGGTAAGTATCTCTTTCCATCGATGCATCTCGATGCATAATGCCCCGACTCGCACACACCAGGAAATTACGACAGCGCTTTCCGTCCGTGTGCGTTCTCTTATGTCAGAGATATCTGACGTTAGTTTTGTATTGTTAAGCACGCGGAAGTGACTTCCTATCCTTCGTTTTTTCATCGCTTTAACCGCCGTATGCGACTGCAGGTGGAACCTCCTGTAGCTTTTGTTTGAACCGTGGAACGCCACACGGGGCGTTTAACCCTTTCGCATTCCTACGTCATGTTAAACTCGACGTGTTCCGCTCGAGTGGTTCCCGTATCGAGCGGATCTCGAATTCTTTTCGTCAATTAAACGTTGTTGCGTGTTGTGTGCTGATAATTTTCGGTAAAGCACGTATTGTTCGCCCGTAATATAGAAGAGCATGGTGCCAGAAATAATAATAAGATCTTTAGACATAAAATAATAATACTATAATACTTGAAACTTTGATTTCAAAAACTTGAATTTTAATTATGTACAGTTAGTCACGTAAGTATTCGTATCCTGTATGTTTATTGAAGAAATTTGTCTAAATTGAATGATGGATTTTATGTTTCCATATCAATTTTTCAGTATAAATATACACGTGCGTAAAATTTATTCCTGTACATATTCAAAATGAAACATTTATTTGGAAATATTAAGCTTACCATTTAATTTAGACAAATGTGTTCAATTGAGATAAAAGATTTTCTCGCAAGAACCTGAAACGAGAGCTGATAAAAATAAGTAGATTCAGCGAGTATTGGACAGACGTGAACTAAATCACATTCAATCGTAAGCGTGCTTCGAGAATATTAAGATTCGATTATCTAGAACTTGAAGTTCTCTTGTAAAAAGGTGTTATTCCACATTTTATAGTTTCAGTTATAGCTACAGATCTACCGCACACGTCGAACTAAAAAGTTAAAATACTATGAATTTGCGCTTTTACCACGTATCGCGTTTCAAATTCTAGAAAAAAAGTGGAAATTACAGCCTTTTTGATCTCATTTTTCCAGCAAAGGCAAGAACGGTACAGTTACATCGCGGCGGTTACAGATTACCTTCTAACGAGTGGTCTAATCTTAGCTTTGCAAGAGATTCTTTCTCGGTACTCCTTGTGCTAGAACATTGACCGTAGCAACGTCTGGTGTTCTCCTTTTTTCTTTCTAATGAAGCGCGTTAAGAAACCAAGGAAAATTGTCGCTAAGTAAATGACTCCCGTAAATGTACCTGTTGCGTGGAAGGTTTAAGAAACATGTTGCGAAAGCGGTGATTACGTTGCTTTACAAGCGAATATTGTACAATCTGATACCTTCTCTTGCATCAAAGGTGTTCGCGTTGTGTATGCGGAGATAGTATCTTTGATCAATAACGCTATTAAGAAAACCAGTGTTACGGAAAATTGGGAGCATATAGGATGGAGCGAAATTTCCACTATAAACAGAGACATCAATGGTTGGTTATATATTATAAAAGTGACTCTAAAATGTGGAATAATATCTTTTTATAAGAGGTCTTCAATTTCCACATAATGGAGTCTGAATATTCTCGAGGCCCGCTTACGATTGAATGTGATTTAGTTCGTGTCTGTCCGCTATTCGCTGAATCTACTGATTTTCATCAGCTCTCGGTTTAGGTTCTCGCGGTAGAATCTTTTCTTTTTTTCTTGTTGATGAATGGTTGATGTATGAGTATCATATCGTACACTCTTTACTATTTTATTTATTATTTTATTATCATTTATATATAACTAAACGTTAAGTTTTTTAAAATCAAAGTTTCAAGTAATGCGATTCCATTTTACAATTCAGATTGCAATTTTTATCTACCGAGCGAGGGATCAAACATTGTTTATCTTCTATTCGTTATTGGAAAATGGTATCCAGATAAGAGTTTCGGCCATCTCTGTTCGTGGCTAGGCACAAGTGGAACACTCTCTACCACGTAGCAGTGATATCGCTTTATCGGATCTACCGTTACGTCGATCTGTTCTGCATCGAGTGTACGATTCGCCCGTTGCGTGTGTCTATGCAGCATAGCAACACCGGAAACCTTGCATCGGGAACCACACGAGGACGCGTGTCGTTCTGTGTCCGCGTCATCGATCGATGTCAGTCAATGTCGATCTAAACTGGTCACCCGCAGACGCGAGGTGATCTAACTGTAAATCTAACGCTTTTCGCGTGCTCGTCGACGACGTGGATCGAGTCGAGTGTATCGTACTCGTGAAAAGGGCTACATGGTAAGCGTCGACGCGGCCTATCCACGCCATTCGATTCCAACTTTGTTCGAAACGCTCGTCAAGCCGTCGCGGTGTCGACGGCTGATTTGCATAACAAATTGATCAGTCGTTTCGTAGGTCCGGCAGTGGTCCGACAAGTCTATGTTTAAAGCGCGTCGACGATTGGTCGCGGACAGTTCAATCGTTCGTTCCGTCTCCTCGCTACTTTTACCCTTAACCACTTCCCTGACTTGTTTTTTAAAGGATTAACTCTAGTCAGTGGCGTGAAAAAATGGATATTTTAAATCATTTTTTTTTCAGTACTTATTAATATTTTATAAAACATGTAAAACTATGATATTATACAATATTTTAAGTTTATTCGATAAAAATTTCAAAACAAAATATTTATTGTAGACACATTTATTGCCATATTTTTTGAACCCTGTTCCACAAGTAGTGCCAGACCTAACACTTTAAAGCAGGTCTGAAAAACATTACGTTTGCTTGTCTCGTTAAAGCAAACAGTGCACACTCGCCTAAAATTCGATGAAATATCAAATCGAGAGTTACTTGCAACTCGCAAGCTAAGTGCGCACAGCCGCTTGTTTCAATAAAGAACGAACGTGTATTCATTATGCGTTACATTATCCTTTGTGGTGGATGCTTCCGAGAAACCGTGGAGCTTATGTCTCGCATTAGAATTAATTAAAATTAAATTATAGTTCAGACACAGAATACACACATGGGATACTTCTACCAAACCTAGTCTACCACTTGATTAAGAACTTTTATTCAAAGATTCATAAAAACAGTTCGCGATACTCTCATCCAAGCCGCTCCGCGTTCTTTGAACTCTTTCGTATCTCCTCCTATCCCCCCTCCCCTCTCGAACGCGAAGTCGCGGTTCTACCCGGATAACGTTCCAGGAACATCGTCCCGGGCGTCCGATAAACATCGCTTAATTTAAAGTTTTCATTCGCTTCCCTGTACACCTCTTTAGCATTCCGCCGTGCCTGGAATTGGCCGTTAATTGGCACGCAAGAGGAATTCCTCGTAGCCCGTGAACGGAATAAGACTGTGATACCAACCTGCGAGGAGGGTTTCTGCAGAAACGTCGCGATCCCTGCTCGTACTCTGTTCTTGACACCGCGCACGGTTCCCTTGGCACTGCGTATGGCTTCCTTATCGAGGATCTTGTAACCGGCAAAACACTCGTCGGTGTCCTTATCCCCCAACACCACTCCCCTGCTCGCGTCCTTATTGTTGCCCTTCAGTTCGTTCACGTGGAACTTGTAAAACCTGTCGTACTCGTAGAGGTACTTCTTGCCCGTCACGGGATTGATGCTCGCGTCGACGTCACCGCCGGCCGATTCCTGCTCTATCCTCTCCTGCTCCTGCTTTCTCTCCTCGTAGGTGCACTCCTTCACCATGGGGGACGGCGATTTCCCGTTTAATTCGATCACGGGATCGGGACTTCTGATCCTCGGCGTGGAGGACGCTTTCGACAGGGTGGAAGCCGCGGACGGTGACGGCGAGACGCTGAGTGAGACGCTCGTCGAGCGTGAATTCGACTCGACTTCCGGTGTCGTGGCAGGTGGCATGGGTCCCTCGCTCGACAAGTCCAGTCGATTCAAATTCAAAACCGTATCTTTCGCGGAATGATCGACGTCCCCGTTCTGGAAGCTGTCTTGGAAGTCTGGGGACGCCCTGATACTTTCATTCGCGTTTCGGGACTCTATACTGTCATGCAGATCGCCAGCGTTTAAGGAGTCGCAGCTGATATTGCTCTCGTTATCGTCGCTGTCCACTTCCGCGCCGCTACTAGTCAAGCTACCAGTGCGTTTGTGTTGCTCGCTGGCGAGTGTCACCGTGCTGGCGTTCTTCTTCTTGGGCAGTGGCGGCGGTGTGCCGTCCAGGTCGCTGCAAGTTCCGCTGTCCAAGGTATCGCTGGGCGAGCACTGTCCGCTGGACATCACCATCCCGGCTAACGGGCTCTGGTACGTGTTATTGTAGTAGAAGCAGGCGCTCGAACGGTTGTTGGCGGAGGAGTTGTTCAAGGTGTCGGACGTATCGCGCTGGACCATGTCTTTTTCTGATCCGTCGTTGTTCCTGTTACGCTTTTCGTTGTTGTTGTTGTTGTTGCGTTCGAAGGCGTTGCAGCCGACACTGATCCTCACACAGGCCTCACCGGCACTTCCACAATGCTGCTCGTTCACCAGATTCGTCGCACTCACGACCACACCACCGTCACGCTTGCTCGAACGTTCGCACGCGATCCCGTTCTCCTGCTCGACTTCGTGGCCAACGTTTTCGTCCAGTGTCAGACGTACGGTGGATATTACCCTGCCGTTCTTGTCACCATCCGGATTGATCCTGATCTTCACCACATGCGCGGCCTGCTGCTGCTGTTGCGTACTCTGCTGCTGTTGCTGGCTCTGCTGCACCGTCGGCTTCACGCTGTTCTGCTTACCGTAGCCGTTCGCGGATTGCACTTCCGGGATTCTTCTCCTACAGGCTGCCGCGGAATCGACGCCAGGAGCGCCGAGTCCGACGAATACCGTTGCTCCGGCCCCTGTGCTCAGAGTGGCCGTGGGGGGATTGGAAACAGTCCGGATTGACACAGTCTGTCGGGCAACCTGACTCGCATCCCGGGCCTGAGCCTTCGGCGGCAGTGTCGGTGGAACGGTCATCGTTGCGACCTCGTCCATATACACATTCGAAACCACTGTCACTTCTTCCGCGAACTACACCTGACCATCAATCTTATCTTTCACCTTGCCCCTCTCTCTCTCTCTCTTTCTCTCTACCCACCACACTCTCTCTTTAGATAGACTTATCAGAGACGTACGATTATTGAACACGATTCCCTCTAATCCAACGACAATTTGTATTTATTTATTTCTCCAAATCAACGATAAGATGTCGATTCGCAAATGCTACGCGTAACGGTATTGGTGCAATTCCTAACTATATCTATCGGATCTCCGTATAGACACGTTCAGTCAACGACGATCTGTCCCCATTTCAACCGCAAAGTGCAATTTTCCCCACAGAAACTGGACATTCAGCGAAACATATTGCAAACATCGCAGTGCACCGGCCGTCCAAAAACTGTGGGCGACTACAGAAAGGACATCGATGACTATGGACACTTACGCGTTCTCCGCGGTCGATGCACCAGAATGATAAGGCGATCAGCGATTGCGCGTAATTTAATCGACGACAGATGGAACGATCTCGCGAAAACACTGCTCCCCGCTGGGAATCGTTATCGCGGCAATTGTTGGAGCGCGAGGATCGGCGTTTACGGTCACTCCAGGGGATGTCCTTTGAGGAGAATGCAAAACACCTGCGAACATCCGTGACGGTGCTCGCGAGTCACGGAATATCTGTCCCCGGGGACGTTGTGCGGTTGGAAAGAGAGAATGAAAGAGAGAACGAAGTAGAGACGAGGAGTGAGATGCAGAGATGTGTAACGTCACTTACTAACCGCATGTGTTTATCGAGAGCAACGCATGGTGAAACGAACTCGACTCGATTCAACGGTGACAACGACAGCGGCGGGTCGACGACGGCGATCGTTCACGGTACGGGCCGTCAGTAACTGTACTGAGTGCCTCTGACACTTACTCATGCAGTTTCGTTGCTTAGGTGGGGACCCAAGTTGGTCCTCGCGACGGGGCACAGCAAAGAAGGGAGTGGGAACGTCGACTCGCTGTTGAGGAGGAAGTGGGGGCACCGTGGGCCCAGAGGACATAACGTAGACGTTCGCGGGTGGGACAGAGTGGGAGAGCTTTGAAACGAGAGAGGTAGTACACGTAGGAGCGAATACAGGTACAAGCACGATGAGCAGGGCCGAATTAAGACGCGGGCTTCCAGAGGTCTTCAAGGAAGAGAATTCCAGAGATAAACCGTCGGACTACCAAGCTGGGTCAATATTGACTCATACTCTTGAATCTCTAAGGTACCAATTTAAAAAAAAATGAAACTAAACGTCAAAGTTAGTATAAAATATCTAATAGCATATTTTTTGTAAGGTGGGTCAAAAAATATCTCACAATGTATGAAAAGCAAAGTAAAAGGTAGGAGAGTTCTTAACCCACTTGGCCTCGAAGAGATGTCAGAATTGGGACGAGTGCAGTTGTTCTCTTTCCTTTGATTGCTTACTTTAATGATTGCGCATCTTGCTATTAACGAATTAGCAATTATAACTGGATAGAGGTAAGTACAGTTGTCCATCTTCTCTTCACTGTTTAAATTATTTAGCAATTACAATCTCTTCCATGGTTTTTCCATGACCGTAGCTTCTCATACTGTCCTATATTTGTACTTGGCAAACATGCGATCTTTCTATTTAAATTATCAATTGCCAGCAGTATAGATTTCTAAAAAATGTGTTGGAGCAACCAAGAACATATAAAATTGGATCGATGTTTTTCTAAATAGCTGAAGACCCTGGGCTTTCTGTGGCCCAGGGATCTGTACGATGTCAGTCCAGTGCTGGGACTGAGCATGAGTGAATGAGGGAGCGAGTGAAAGAATGAGGCCCTGTACGAGTAGGTAAATAAGTAGCCGAGTGGACGTGCGAGTGAAAGGACGAGCTGGGCGCGAGCGTGTGCGCCGATGAATAAGCGAGAAAGACAAGTGTTGGGAAGGGAAGGCCGAGAACGGGTCTTGGAAGCTGTCTGGCACGTAAGCACTTGCTGAGGAGGACGTGGCGTCCTCTACCGAGCCAGGTTGAATCGACTATCCGGTTTCTCATTTAAATACCTGTTCTTTACCGTTCACCAGGCTTTCTCGCGTACGAGGGTGCATCTGTGTGCGCTCGCGGTCTCGCGTACCTGTTCTACGCATTACACCTGCCGAAATTTCACCAACACAACGCCCCTTCGGATCAGTGATTCTTAGCCACTGTGCCCAGGCGAAGATGGCTAACTATCTACGCTGTATGATCAATATTTTGGCGACATAGAGGAATTTTTATTTCCTATTCTTTTCAGGAGTATTATTGTAATTAATTAGAAAGGATGTTACTTCAGGTTTGAATCAAGATGTTGTTTTCTGGATATTTATACTTTCATTAAGTAATTATTGGTTTGTCTGGAAAGTCCATGTCGATTTTTGGTATGTGGTACAGGTCTGAATACATCTCTTAAAAGATAGAAAGATTATGGAACAAAATGGTATAATTCAATAAATATATATCAAAATTCAAATATGCCTTTGGATTTTTTTTTAAAAATTAGCACGAACGTTCTGGACAAGCCAATATAATTTGAAGTGGTTAAGAACCACTGTCTCGGATGTTCCAATGATTTCTTCGCGACCGTGGAAGCCCTACGCGCGTGTGAATGGCCCCGTGAATGGAAAGCAACTTTGACGATACGTTTGATCGTTGGGGAATTTTCTTCTTCTTGTACGCAGCGTTCCTAGAACGGTCGGAAGTACGAGACGTTGCGCAACGATTCGCTTTTGTTTCCTATGGATTAGCCACGGGCGTTGTAAACGACCGTGTAATTACTGCCACTAGGAAGCAGAATGCGTGCAATTCGTTAATAAATAAATCTATCTGGAATGAATCCCTTCATCCTAGATAAATGATACACGTTCTTTCTTTAGGTGGACATCTTGGTCCACCACTTAATCCCATTTACTCCAAACTTTTCCACGCGAGGAAAACTTTCGGTTTAAATAATCGACACTGGTCTCCTGTTTCGTGTAGTCTGCTATTGAAGTCCAGTCCGAAGTGCGCTTGTTTTAGCGAGAGTTCATTTACCCAGGTGAACTGGTCGATACTTTCATACCGTCGGACAAATCTGTACCAGTCACACCCTTGTATATCACTGCGAATTCTAACCGATCGATACTTTTACTGCTTCTAAACAGTTTATCATACTTGATGTCAGCATTCGGTGTCTACGGTAAGCGAATCCTGCGGCATACATTTCAGACGTCGAGAGAAATAGTGCTAGAGTAAGTATCCTTTGCAAGATAACAATTTGCAGTATATTTTTATATAGAGTTGTTTCCAATATTTCAAAAAGCAGTCACGCAACTCATCCAGGAACAACGTATTATCATACAAGATATGTGGGTCATTGCATACTGAGCATAGTTATTCGTGTACATAGAAATCTGATTTAGCAATGTAAATTTGAATTAGGTAGCGAGGTCCGAGATACTTCTGGTCTACCGGATACAAATTTTGACTATTGCTATCTTCCATACCTGCGCTAAATATCGACAGTCGATATTTTATCCTTGTTACCCGCGACTTCTGTGTTCCAATTTACTACAATCACTTGGCGCTTCGACTTTTATCGTCGTGTAAGCTTTATGGTATTATTTTTAAGACGTTCCCGTTTATCTGAAGAGAGCCATACTCGCGAATTACCTTTCATCAATAATTGTTCGTTTTCATCAACCAGGTAATAGTTCAGGTAATATTTCTAACTATAATTTACATATACTCTTATAAATTGGCTTTCGTCCTTACCTTCGTCGTCGTCCTTCTTTAACCCTTTGCACTCTGAATTATATTTCAATTTCGTTACCAGCAGCTCTCAACGTTTTTAATTGTTTTATTTGAAATTTTCTGTAACTAAAAAATAAGGCAATTTAAATAATTAAAGGAAGAAACAAATTCACTTAAATACCAGTTTTTGTCACACTATTGTTGTACTTTGTAATTTTCAGGTGCATGATATCTCTTGAAACAATATCCTTCACTATTGATTTGGACATAAGGAACGTCGAGTGGGACTCGACAAACGAGCTCCTAAGATGAAAGCTGATGTCGAATCACAATCGACATAGGAGTGCAAAGGGTTAATCCCTTTTACTTCTGTGTATATTTTTTTCAAATTATAACATGTCCCGAGGAATCCAAAAATAAAGAACCTTGACGTTGCTTTCGCCATAAAAAGAGAAGCACGTCTCTAACTTATCAATAAAAAAGTAAATTTTATTTAATTAAAAGGAATGTAGAAAATTTCGACTGGTTTTTGGAAGAATTCTAGATCCCCGTAGATCGTGTCCCCCATGCAAATCAGGCGTTTGGCGAGATCCCCACTATTGGCATCGATCGGTTGATCCCACACTCTCGGATGTTTCTTTTACTCTTTATTATTTGGCCTTATTTTCCACATACCTCACCCGGTAAACCAGTTGGGTGGTGTTCGCCTTTCTTTCCACGACGCGAAACCTGTATTCAGCATGCCGCTTACCGCGGCATGCGATTGAATAAGCAACTTTATAAACAGTTAAAATAACATGCAACAAGCGTGTCTAGGAAATCGTAATATACTCCTTGGGAATTCTCGTTTCCTTTTCTTTTTCATCTGATTTCGCGCGCGCGGGCTCACGTACGCGCGATATCGCGCACGAATGTTTGATAGGGCCACGTGCGTATTCAAATATCAACGTGTGCATTTTTCAATCAAAGTAAAAGTTCTGGAAAATGCTAAACAATTTTTACGACTGTGCGGCTCGCTGACACGAAACGACACCGAGTCTACGCTGTAAACAAATTCCAGCATTCTAACTCGGTTGCAATTTATTTGTAAATACTTTGGGGCTTCTAACGCGATGAGTAACAAACTCCACTTACAATATACTCCAGAAAAAAAACGATACACTGAAATAATACTTGCATTTGTAAACAAATTTGAACGTACGCGCTGGTTGCGGCTTCGCATCGATGCGTCGTGACGTTGGCGTCACGGGGATCGCGGTCCTTCCTTCCATGTAGCGCGTAATTGAGTTACAATAATAGGTATTCGGTAATTAGTAGTCGCGTGACTAGTCCTAGATACAAATATATATGTTCAGATTATGAATTAGTGAGTTCAGTTGTTCAGTTCTCTTCCTTTTAATTACTCTCTGTGTTTGTTCGCCCACAAAAATATTCCTTACACATTCATGTAATATTTCCCATACCAAAATCATGCACAACTAATTGCTGTTAAATTATCTACAAGATCGACGCACTATTTACGCGCACCATTTGTTTCATTGAAGAGAACCAGGACAGGCAACTAATCCCTAACAAGCGTGAATTATTACTCTCGCAAGACAAGTCGTACATTGAGATATTACTCGGCAGGAAATAAGGAAAAATGATTGCTGGAATCTGTGTCGTATCAAGAATTGCTGTGTGTGCGAGGCTCGGATGTATTGACCTTGCGACGTGCGTGGGACGTGTTGAGAGTAGAACAGGTTCCGTTACACCTTTCAGCGTCCAGCATTCCATCGAGCTCTCCCTGGTTATATACGTTCGTCTTTCTCTTTTTTTTTTCATTTTATATGCTTAAGGGTGAAGTTACTTCGTACTTGCGACCTCTGGCGCAGGACCTCCAGTCAACAGGGCCGACGAAAACGGGAAATGAAACTCTGCATACCTTCGAGCGACACACGGTGACACTTATATTTGATTGCTTCTTACATTTACAATTGGTAAACTCATTGCGAAGTCGACGTTCGCGCGAAAGGAGTCGTTTGGACGTGGCTAGAGCCTAGGAGGACTTCTCGACTCTCCATTCAACGCAGACCATTGTAAATTATTTGCGATAACAAATTTTCCATTCAACAATTATCGGCCGCCTTGCCAGAAGTAAATTACTGTGTTGGAATACAAACAGTAGGCGATTTCTGGTTTGAGAGGACGATAATGAGGATTTGTGGCCCACTGCAAGACACGTGAATGGGAGAAATTGAATCCACATGCTCGCATTGTTGCCGAATAACAATTCCATCTTATGTCGTATCATTTCTCGAAAATTGCGATAATTATCCCGTCGATTTTCATTTAATCCTATCGTTATAATTCACAATTACATTCATTTAATTTAAATTTAACAAAAACAAGCTTCGCAGGATTCTTCAGTAATCCACAAGTATACGACGTATAATTCTGTAGGAGTTTGTAATTAATTTAAGAGCTAACATTTTGCGCTCTCCGAATTTTTTAAAATATGAATGACATAATAACTTCAGTAGCAAAGAAGTCGACCCAAGGGTTGTGTTATCGTTTATGGAGTTTTAGAACCGTAAAAATCTTATCTCCTACACAATATATTGATGGTGTAAGTGTACAGTCGCAATAATACTACGATGGTGAATCGCCATAGCGTTGACGAAGTTAGGCGACTAGTTCTGTTTCTCTGGACAGGAACCAAACGTTCATGGGTTCCGATTTGCCCTTCATGGTCACGGGACCTCTGTACTCCAACAGAAACTGTGGATCCTGGTTCTCAGGCATGCAGAGGTACCTGCAACAGTGAAAATATTATTATCTTATCAACGTGACGACGAATTCGAGTTTACAGTTAGAAAAATAGTTAAGTAGGCGATTCAAGAATTGGACGTTGTTATTGTGGAGGCAATTAAGGCACAGTTAATGAGTTACTGTGGTGAAAATAATAAAGTCTTCTGTTAAAGAGCCACAGATGCAAGTATGTAAAATACTTCAATATTTCGTTGTTGTTGTTTAATTACTTTATGTAAGGTCACATCAACTACGAAGTTATTAGTGACTACGTCAATCATTACAATTTAATTATAATTTATTTAACATGTGCATACTATTTGAAAGTTTAAACTCAATTCGATCGTGTTGTATTCCCTGTCATTCTGTAATTAAATATTTTCCTGCAAGGGTCTCGTCACGAAAGTTGCATAATGGTGGCTGTGAAAATACTTCAATATTATTTCAACCTTTTTCGTCGACAAATAGCAGGTGAAATTACGATTCGTATTTAATTTCCGATAATTATAGACAGTTTAGCATCGCGTTGAATTTCTACTAATAACTTCAGTCAGAACTATCGAGTGATGACGGGTGACCTCAAACCACATTAAAATCCTTCCATTAAGAGTACACCCGGGCTGAAAGTGTGTCTGCGAAGGCAGCAATCGCAGCAACAAGAAATATCGTGTAATTTACTGCCTTTGAGCTGTTATAAACTCGCTGGACGCTGGGAAATCGGTAATCGTCGAGACTCGACGTTCCCGCTTAATTAGGTATGTTTATACACCGTTCGGACGGGAATGTAATATTTACCGCGGCATAGTAAGGCGGACTCGTCGTGCGCTTTGCTAAGGGAACGAGCAGAGGAAGCCCTCGAAATACTTATTTAACACCTAATCGAATTAACCATTGGCGTCGTCTCCCCGGTGGTGCCTGATGTCCAGCCGACCATTCGTGGACGAACGACAGCGGTACGCTCGTCCCAACGCGAAATTAGTGCATGTCGAACGTTTCTCTTCGATCCAGAAAAGATGGAAGTGTTGATAGACGGCTACTTCGACAAGCTGTTCGCTGAAATGGAGCGCAGTTGCCTGGCCTCGCGTTACAAACGTCGAGAGTTGGTAGGCTACTTCTCCGACGTGATAAATAGCTGCGCGGAAGGTAATAATCTCCGCTTACGAAATCTAAGATTTTTATGGTTTATGCGCATTAAACGATGGGAAGGGATTGGACAATTCTGTGACAGTGAGTGAAGTCATAATTTGTTACATGTGTTTAATGTGTTTAAAGAAAATATTTTCACTACACTTGAACTGGAATTTTGTTACAGCTTTGAGCAGCGATGTATCACTCTCGGCCGTTTTTACGAGTGTATGGAGGAGCGATATATCGCTCCTTGGCACTCAAAGGGTTCAATTTGTTATTTAAACAGAAAATTTACGATCTTCTTTTGCAATAATTCGTGACTGAAAAGGCTATAAACCTATCCCTTGAGTAATTGCAATCAATGTAAACTACATCTCGTAGTTACTAGTGAATAGGTTAACGTTTGCGAGCACCGTTCAATTTATCAATATCGTATGATGTAAACGTTAACCTTTCTTTGCAGTCCTCGTCAGGTTTATTTAGTTGTGCTGCAAATACTTATATTTGATCAAAGAATTTTCTGTGAAATTACCCGCTATTTACTGTATGGTTAACGGGGTTTTGGTCGCGATCGCATGGGATGGAGGTTCCGGGCCGTTTCGACTCGCCTGTATAGATTTTTTCGATTCAGTGATTGCCCGGTTCGTTCAGCGATCCGCTAGAAATTCTATTGTGCGACCATGAAAGTGACTCGGTCGGGAATAGCGGAAGGAAAGTGATCCCGTGTAATGTTATACGCGGGAGAAACCGTCCATCGTCGCCCCGTATGATTTTGCTTTCTTTAAAAAATTATGTAAAACGGTGATTCGATGCCTCGCCATCGAAAGTATTGGCTCGTGAAAGAAAAAGTTGTCGTGTCATCGACTTCTACCATCGCAGTGGGATTTTCCACGGATTTTCATAGATCCACAGACACTGTTTCCCTGTCGATTCCCTTCGTAGTTGTGTTTTACTGTGAAAATGAAACTCAAAAGTGTGACCACGCGAACGTAGCATACATCATTACAGGTTACACTGGCCTGGTGATGTGTGCAATCGACGACAGAAAAAAAAAAGAAATCTAATAATCAGTTATTCGTTGCGTATGACTATTGCGATTCTATTGGAACGCAATGATCAGCTAATGGTAACATATGGAAGAATACTTGTTTTTTCGACCATTACGTTCCGATACATTGCAATAGTTATACGCAACAAATAGCTGATGATATAGTTTCTTTCCTCCTGGCTTTGATTACACATACAGTTTAATCTTTTGTATGCTATCACTGTATGGTCATACTTAACTCATTAGATGCCATGATTCCTATTTCGGGATTTTGAAATTTTCCGTACACCATTCGGCGCTAGAAATATATTTAGTATGTCTGACAGTTTAATTTCATTTTATGTATATCAGTCAATACTGTGGGTAATAGAAACTGTGTATTCTGTCCTTCGTTTCTTTACAAAAAGCGAACGCATTTGAAATTCGTCCGTAAGTTGAACGGAACCGGAATGGAAATTTAGCAATTAATAAGTTAAAATCCTTTCCCTAAGTGAACCTGGAATTCATCTCAAATTAGTAACACTCCTGATTGAAATCCCCCCATCTGTCCATAGATCACATCAGTACAATTTTGCCCGTTGTTTATAGCGGAGAACCTAGACAAGCAGGACGTCTGCGAGAGGATAGTGATGTCCGCCCTGCGCTACCACAACATAGCCATGATGGAGAACGGCTACGTCTGCCTGCTAGGCAAGTTCCACAACGTTCTCTACGTGGCAGCGAAGCTCTGCTACGACTGGAACCTCGAGAACAACGAAATCGTCTCGCGACTGCTCAACGACATCTTCTACTGCGAGAAGACCTTTGAGCGTATATTAGTGGGCGCTATCTTCGGTACACGGGTGACCCACTTCCTGTCAGGTTGGAAGAGCGACTTTGAGGACCGCGAGGAGAACATCAACGCGCTGATATACTTTCTGCACCACGCCACCATTGGACGGCTCGAGTACAGGTGCCAGCTATTGCCCATGAAGAGACGCTTGATTGATATACCCATGGAGTCCTACGGACAGGCGTTGCCATTAAGGGTGGCCATTCAAAACGGCTCGCCAGATATTCTTCTCGTCATGCTGCGTTACGGAGCTTCCGTAGAGCCTGACAATTTGGCTCCGTCTCCCTTGGAAATGCTGTTGACGAGACTGAGCGAGTACGACCCTCAGCCTGGACAACAGCAGGCAGTTTATCCTGAACCCTTGCTTCAATGTCTGAGGATAGTGCTGAGAACCGTGACCACAGCTTTTGTGAAAACGCCCAGTTACATAGCTGACAAAAGCGGCGTCTACAGTGTCTCTCTTTATGAACAGTATCCTACTCTGGTGGAGCAGAAGCTGGTGCCACCCGAGAGGAGCGGTCTGAATCCACCTGAATTGAGACACTTGTGTCGTTGTCGTATTAGAGAGACTCTGTTTGAGAACTGGGCCCTGCCGCATGGAATACAGAGTCTACAGATCCCAGCGTCGCTTAGGGACTACTTGGACTTGCTCACCGACTGATATATGTACTTTCGCCGTTGTGGGTCGAAACTTGGACTTGTTAGGTGAGATAGAGAGACTCTAAGTTTAGGGATACGCCAGAGTTTACTTAAAATCCTCTTGAGACTGATTAGTATTTGATCTAACCGCTGCTACAAGATGTGTTTCATTTGGAATGCAAAGGAAGGACATTCTTCAAAGTTCACTGAGGATACTTCATTTAGTGAGCTGAATATAATTTCTTTTAGATATATGAGCTGCTCATTGCACAAATCCATTAACTCCATACAACAAAAAGTTGAGAAATGTGATCAAAATAGCCTCTGAAATAAATTATTTATTATTCAATGGCCAAAATAATTTTGTCGTTTAATGGTGTTTTAATGGTTTAAGTGCTTTGACACTTAAATTTAAGATTTTTAAAAAAGCGGAGTTAATCGATTTGTACAGTCAACGGCACATATGTACAATAAAATGGTCGTGCAATAGAGGGCTAATATGGTTGCGTGACGAGTTAGATGTGTGGAAAATCGATAACTTCGGTTCTTAAGTAATGATGTAACAATATTTGTAGGAAAACATTTATACAGAAATATCACTGAGTGGAAGTGACAAAGTTATTTCTAGGTCATGTGAGTTTCAGACCTTTCAGAAATATAGCTGTCGTTGAAACAGATGAAGTGACTTTTCATGCGACTCTTCATGTATAAACATTTTTCTTTCAAATTCTAACGAAACCACTGAGACCAATAAATTTATACATGAAAATTCACTTCGCTGCATGTGACATTGCGAAACTGTAGTCGGTTTCTAGACTGCACTCAAAGTTCATCGAAACTGTAATCGAAACTCGATGAATCGCTTCCACACAAACCTGCGGCATCAAGTTTCGAAGTTCGACGCGCGAAATGCGTGCATGAGCTGAAAGCATTGACCGAGGTGCCTTGTAGTCGACCATAACTTTTCAATGCAATTTCTTTTGTCAGTGTATCGAGTGTTACATAAATCGTCGTAGTTGCTGATCGAGTTGGGGCAGCAGAGCATGGAAAAACCCATAGGAAAACCTATCAATTTCGATACAGATGTATCGACTTTTCCAGTTTGTATGTGAAATCCCTTCTCGAGTTTACAATTCGTAGAAACGTCCCTAAAGATTTATGTCGTGTCGCGTGATACGGGTCATCTGATGCGACCGCGTATACTTCAGCCAATAGGCGAACTTCTGACAACGAAAACTCACGCGACGAATACTGATGTGTGAAAAAGTAGTGCAGCTGTCTTTTAAGGGGATGAAAATAGACAAAGTAGACGAGTAAATAGGTTATAGTTACGAGAATCAAATAAGTTGTAAATACAAATATTGGTGTTGAAGAATTTACGTTAAATTAGAAGAAATTTAGGTTCAACTTTCGATTCGTAATAAATTAACGTTTTAACTTCCATTCTGTAGGACAGTCTGCGCCAGGTTAAGGGAAAGTCAGGTTCAATAGGTCCGCGATAATTATACGTTGTAATATCCTGAAGATAATGAGTGCTGGGAATCAGAGAAACTCTTTCTGAATCACGAACGCTCCGCGAGAACATCGAAACGTTTCGAGATTCTGCAAACTGTGTCCTTCCTTTTCACATAACGCAAGTGTCGCGAGAACGTTCTTATGGCGTTAACACTTTCACAAAAATATGTCTCCCACGCGTTCCATGCGAACTTCTTGCACATTTGAGTTATATTTTACTTTCTTTTTTGTTAGAAAGAACAGGGAAAGCATGTAAAGCAAAATCATCGCTCGCAAAATTTATTTTTGAAATTGTTCCTAGTAAAATCGAAAACGACTGTTAATCTTTAAATTAATATCAGCGAAGTTTTATATCGACCTACACCGATATTTTTTTCTATTTATAAGTTTATCATTGCTCGATACTACACTCTACGCTCTACAGTGTCCAATAATAATGAAATATTGCGACAAAGTTAATCGAACCGAGCCAGCTGGAACTGATTGCTAGAACCAAGCGTATAAATCCTTCGAGACACTCGACGCGCGGGTAATAAATTTGATATTCAATATTTAACACGATTCTGCATAGACGTTTAATAAATTCGACGTTCGATAAGCTGAGCAGTGACAGTGTGTCTCGCGACAATACAGCAGCAATAATAAAATGTTCAGGTAGTCGATCGACAGTGAATCGTAGTCGCAGCGATATAAATGCCGCTTCGCATTAAATTTTGACCTGCTGCATGTTCAACGAATTTCCGAGATGGATGCAGCTCCGCGCTGGACTTTCCTGAGTTTACTGGTGTAATTGAATTACCTCTGGTCTAAACAATTCATTGTCGCGATAATGCTGCTGGACTTGATTAGCAGGCGTTCGTTACTAAATCGAGGCGTGCGTTGATTACAAAGGACACTTTAACGCTTCGGTTCCGTAGCACGGACCATGAATATCAATTTTCTGATTCAACGAAGGTAGCGAATAATAAATTATAAAGAAGATGAACTGTGAACTAGATACAGTATTTCAAGCTCAATAACGCGACGGTGGATATACAGATATTTGTATTGCTTTTGTAAATGTATGGCATGTATTTTCTTTCGAGTTCTTCCACATCACGTATTCAATTCAGTGTATTGTTCAAGATGGATCGACCACTGAACAATTAAAATTATAAAGAAGATGAAATATGAACTAACAAGTAAAGTATTGCAAGCTCAGTAACGCGACAGTGAATATATATATGGTTATTGCTTTTGTAAATGTATAGCATGTTTTCTTTCGAGTTCTTCCATATCGCGTATTCAATTCAGTATATTATTCAGGATGGATCGACCAACGAACAATTAAAATGATACAAGCTCCACCATGTTTCTTTATCGATACCATCATCCTTGAGGAATAATTCAACATGCCCATGCAATAAAAATAAATATTCGCATGTACGCGATGTTATTCCCTAGTCACAGCAATATTTCCGTTCGACCTACTTGTATCTGCTTATCTGTACATTAAGTCCACAAACTGACCATCTTTCATGTCGGCGCAAGGACGTCTGGATTATTGATCTTTTTATGCGCTCGAAGTCTCCCAAGCGTTAGTTGAAAACAGTTCAGAGGTTTGCCAAAAGGAATACCAGTGGCAAAAATGACGGTTCGAAAACAAGAACGAACAAATCGCGCGCATTCGTCCCATCTCGTTTTATTGCGGCCATCGAAATCTAAAGTGGATCTCGTCGATCCCAGAAATCACCTTCATTAATTAATCCCCTAGATCCATTTAGAATATTAAAGTCAGTCAAAGGAGGATTCTCATTAAGAATGTTTAAAAAGTCGAGTTTCATTTTAATTGGATATTTTGAAAGTTCGTAGCCTTGGAAATTAACCTTGTGAATTTAATCCCTGTATACCAGATGTTTATTATGAAAGTGGTGCCAGGTCATGTCTTTTAAACTCAAGTTTTCTCAAGCAATTCTTGAACTAAAGTTATTATATTTTATCGTTTTAGGGAGTAGTTCATAATGTATCAACGTTGACGATAAGTGTATACAAATTTATACTTACAGTCAGTCCCATAACTATTCGTACACTCTATTTCAATTGAACACATTTGTCTAAACTAAATGGTAAATTAATGATCTGAATAATGGTATATACTTATAATGAAAAATTGATATGGAAACGTAAAACTTATCATTTAATATGGACAAATTTCTTCAATAAACATAGAGGGTACGAACACTTATGGAGCTGACTGCATATCATTTTGAATCTTAAAATGGACAAGCTAAAAAGTATTGAGAGAACTGGAGAAAACTGGACACTTCTTCGATGCACCTGAAGTGCCTAACGCAGCAAAAATTAATAATTTGCACCTAAAGTGTCTAACGCAGCAAAAATTAATAATTTGTACCTGTACGCGTCCTCGGAGACGTTAATTTTTCCAGGCTCGCCAGTGGTCTCCGTACGGCTGGTGAGATTCACCGTGTTTCCAAAGAGACAGTATCGAGGCATACGGTGGCCAATTACTCCGGTTACGACCTCACCGCTGTGGATCCCGATGGTGATTTGCTACGAAAGAGTTAGCGACACGGTATCACAGGCAGATCGTCTAATAAACGACAGTGCGCAGTCCCGTCACGTCGATCGCGTTAACGCTGCGGAAGCTTTCGCGTTGGAACAGGAAGAGTGCGTTCAGGAAAAAGAACAAGACTCTTTTTACGGATAATCGAATGCAGTACTGCGTTCCACGACCAGCGATTGAAAAGACCAGTTAAACGTAGAAAGAAATACGATATCTACTTCCACTTATTTCGTTACTCAATTTATAATAATATTTCATGATCTATTAATTTGATTTTTATTTAATAGATGTTTTTGCTAGGCTTCTTTATTTTTGGGCACCTTTCAGTACATGGAAATTAATTTTACTATGGTAAATGACATTCAACTGGTCTTTGAAGGTTGTCGAGATCTCTTATTGAGATTTCTCGCGTAAGTTTCGGGTTGGAGGTCGAAAACAAGCTTGCAATAAAACATGGAAACTTACCACAGGCTCGCCATCGATCTGCACTTCGTCTGCAGCCAGATCCATCATATCCAGCGCCAGGCGAGCGATGCATCGTGCATGGCAACGACATGGTTCTGGTAATCCGCTCACGGCCATGTATTTGTCACCAACAGTTTCGACCTAGTCCAACCAAAGTGGATCAGTGCTAACAAGCCTTCTCGTTAATTCAAATATATTCGTTGTCGAGCGTATAATGGATACCGGATATCTTACTTTAATGCCTTTTAATATCGCTCCGAAACGGGCATAATCAATATTAATGATTACCTTTTTGTAATGGTTGAACGTACGTGTTTTTCTGAATTATATATTATATTCTGGTCGAGGCATTTATAATGAATTTTATTAATAACTGGGACTTCGCTTTAGGTTCTCCTCAGGAAATTCATTTCATTTAATAGATACGAGAGAAACATTAACATTAAAATAAATCTCTTTTCACTGTAATATGATTCATATTCGAATTTAATCTCTCCTTGAAATATCTACACATCGAAAAAGTACGTTCCAAATTTATGATCCGATAAGTCTAATGAATAAATCGTGAAAATAAAAAAAAAACTTAGGTATTCCATTCAAAAGTGTAATGCTAATTTCCAAAGTCGTATAACTTTCTTGAGCAATGCCGTTTCTTACGACTTTAAATAGTGAAGATATTAACGTGAACCGTTTCTAAGGCGGCACCCGGTAAAATTTATACAATTTAGTTTTGAAACGAGTTCGACCAAGATATACGTTTATAAAATCCGTTTATCGATTCTCCAACCCAAGTCTGTTCGGGAATTGAAACACAAACTTTTACGCAGTTCGAATGCCATGCGGAAAGAAAGGAGCTCTTAACAGTATACACAGTTTCTCTTTCTTTCATTACTATTTAAATAACCATTGTCGTTAGGAACGACAACCGTTTGTGCTTCTTCCAGACCTGCTTCCTGCAGTGGCATACGCTTTGAACGCAATACACTACAAACGAGAAACTTTCTTTTTGGTCTTCTAGAAATATTATCCGGTATATACATAAATTGGCTTTGACCAATATTGGAAAATGCTTACTCTTCAAAGGGTTAATAACCTTTCATATTTGAAGTATAAGATTTTTTACATAAACCTTGATAAATGCTCACCTTGTAGACGTTGGGATTCTTCTTGGGGTCGGTGAGAACATCGAACGCGGTGTACAGTTGATTAAGCATGTTGACGATCTTCATGGCGCCGCTGGAGTCCGTGTGAGCGGCACAGTAAGCCCCGAAACCGACGATTCCAGAAAATAGGAGCGTAACGCAGTCATATTTCTTCGCTGGCACCGGTCTCGAGTGCCTGAGCTCGTTCGCCACGGAAATGGGCAACACCGAGTACAGCAGTCTGCGAAACACGCGCAACTTTTAATGGAACTTCGTTTAATCACGAGCCAGGCGACTCCGCTAATTTCGTTTACCCCCTCGAATCACGGAACTGGCCGATGGAATTATCCTAACGGAGGTAGCAAAGCAGATCACCGAGTTTTTTTCAGTTGAAAAAATAAAAATGATGTATTTTACCAAGCTGAAGAATCGAAAACTTTACATGGATCAAATAAATAACGCGACTCTTTCTAATTTCGATTACACCCTCTGGAAAAGTACTCATTTGCAGTCACAACCTGAACACCCAGTATTTGTCGGACCTAACGTCCTGCAACGAGCGTCGGAACGAACGTAGTTTAAAGGTGTCGCTCGATGGAAAAAGCGCGATCCAATTTCCGGCGGGAAAAAGTATCTTGTCAAGAAAGAAATTCCAAGTTAGTAGAAAAATCGACTTCTCTCCACCCTTTCCCGTGGAATCACGCCAGGATAAATGGCAAACGAGGCCAATGGGGATTTCCTTAATCAGAAAATTACGCCGACGGGAATCCTTACCTGTCGGTCTTCTGCTTCTCGCCGTCGAGCTCGCGATACGTCTGCTGCAATTTATCGGTAAGCAATTCCAAGTTCCTCGTTAATTTATAATCAGCCTCGAATTGCTCCGACATCAGAACGAGATCTCTGGTGGCATCGTGAAGGGGGACGTCGCTCAAATACAAGCCCCGCCTGACGATCAAAAGCGTGGAAAGTATAGAAATAAGTTTAAATCTTACTATTTCAAATGAAAAAATTAATTAACGGTACGAATGGACTAGTTCTAATTGGAGAAAATCTAAAATGGAATTTATTTTATGGGAAAGGATGCTTTCCAGTTAAAAGATGTTTCGGCCTAGACGGTGGAGTCGTCCATGACTGGTGAGGCTGAAACAACAGCCTATTGTTCTAGACGGGATTAAATTTTGTCAAAGTGGGATCCTACACAGGAATCGCCAGCTTAAGTTTATTGTTAGCCGAGAAATTAAGTGAATGTTTTCTAGCTGGTGTTATTTAAAGGCAAAGAAGGCAAAGAAGGTTTTCAATTACATTGAAAACTTTATATCTTAGTTCCCATAATATTTAACGTGAAAAGGTTAATTAGCGATATAATGACTTATTCTGCTTTTTGTAAATATTTGAAAGGAATTTATTTTATGGAAAAGGTTTCTTTGTCTTAACTCGAAAGAAATTCTTCCCGTAAAATAAATTTAATTTAGATTGTTTAAAAGACAGAATGTACCATTTACGTCGTTAATTAACTTTTTTGTTTCCATTATATTTGGAATGTAGGTCAATCGTTAAAAATAGGTAGATTAAAAATGATTGTTATTTGTTATAACAATTAATAAGAGACAATCGAAATTTAATTGCAAAATATTTTCCATTATTGTTTCCGATGCGTCACAGTCCTGACCACATTCTAGAACGCAGCCAAAATATTTGTTATAATTAGATTTTGTTTGTGTTTCATCGACTGCAAAACCGAGCTAATGGAACTCATTGACACCTGTACCATACCAACTTGAAACACTTTACAGAGTCTGTTATAGACAATTTATCGACTTTCAACCTCAAACGAGAAAATAATTCACCCCAAAAATAGCTAAACGATGATAATTCGATATTTGATCATACTCGAATACGTAATTCACGTTTCCCCTTCATGGCAGAGAGAGGACAGAGGTACGCAATAACACGTCGCAATAATTTCACTTGCGCACACTTGGAACGTTTGAACATGGAAAACGAAGCGCGTTCAACGAGTGTCGACGGGACGCAACGTGGGAATAGGAAAAATATCGGTTACACGGGCAGAAATTTATTCGACGGCGAATCGTATCTTTTCGTCACGTCTGCCAGCTATGTAAATTGAAGCTGGGCCTATTCGAATGATTTAGCGTTCTAGTATTTTACACTCGAACATTTTACAACATTTTTGTATCGTAATACATCAGTAATCCAATAACATTTTTCGAATACTAGTATCTCGACTGAAACTTTATACATCTCATAGACTTAATATTTTCTTTATTGAATTTCTTGGATATTTTAAGCATCCGTGTTTTCATTTTTGTTGTTCACTTTTCCATATAAAAAAGTTAAATGTTGAAGTTAGTTGAAGTTTATAAAACCGAAAGGAAATCCCATGAAGTATTAATTATTTATAAATTAATGTAAATTTCGTTTTTATTTATGAAGTCTTAAAGGTTTAAAAATTGCACGAATTTCTATCAATTTATTCGTTTTCTTATTAATTTCGCAACTCATATAAATAACTAATACTTTTTTGTACTCTATCTATTCTAGAGATTTCCAAGAATATGTAGAATATTATTGTTTATAAAAAGGAAGTTAATAAATTACAATTTTACATAGTTCTTTTGGAAATTGATCAGTGTACAAATACTTTCTACACCCACTGTATAGCACCTAGAAAGCTCTGACAAGAAGTCCCTAATGCAAATCCTTTTGTAAACGTAACTCTCGCACCAGTTGCGTCTAGTCTGACTCTCGGAGTCACGGGGCCCTGTCGACGGTACAAAAGAAAGTTATCGCAGTAAACAGGCAGCGTAATAGGAGCTAACTCAATTAAGCTTTAAATTTATCCGCTGACTACCTCGACATTTCTGCTCGAATAAATCCCTGCTAACTCTAAACTACAGTGGGAATTATCTGGGCGTTAATCGTCGCCCCATAGAGGAGCGACGAACGCTCGAACGAACGCGCAAAAAGCTGGAGCGCGCGATGTAGCAATTGCGCGATGTAGCAATTACGCGATCGGATTTTCAACGACGAGTGCACCTATACACGCCGCGACGAAAACCGCAGGAACGACTGATTGCGATGGGATCAACTTCGTCACGTACTCAAGAATCAGAGGCGCGTATAAAAGGATCGAGGGTGCAAATTATATTCGTAAAAAATGAGCTTTCACTTTTTACACTTGTAGAATATTTGATCTACAGGGTGAATTACGAATCGTGATCAGTGGAGATTACTCTGTTATTAGCAGTCCTGTTATTAGACGCCTATCTGTTAGAGGATTTCAAGGCGAATACGATAAATCAATAGTTGAAGGTCATTCAAGGTTAGATAGGCTGACGATAATAGAAAATAAATTGTTTGAAGGCACTCTTCAAATATTTCATTAATTTATTTTATTTGCGTACTTACTGCTATAGCAAGTGTTCAAAATGACGACCTTGAACTTGGATGCATTTTCTAAAACATGTTAATGTAGAAAAGATTGCACGATGAACTTCGTTTGAATCAATTACAATGCAAAAGTTGATAAAAACATATTCAATCGAACTGCTAATAACAGAATAATCTCCACTGATCCCGATTCGTTATTCACCTTGTATAAAAGGTGGTAGTGAAGCACAGATTGTCACTTGAGACACTAATCAATTGTCATTATTCAATATCGTATATTCCATGAAGAATTTGAATGATTTGAAAAGTGAATGCTATCATGGGCGTGGAGTTGCTAAATCTACAAAACACTCTTAAATATATAGAGTATACGTATTTTGCGAGGAGTATTTGAAATACTAACATATATATAGATCCATCACATATCTATAAGCTTTGGAAGTACAACTTCATTTCCTAAAGTACTTCCAGAGTATAGAAGGTTTGAATCCACTTGTAAGATGCTTGATCCCATCGGTAACGAGTACTCGACGGAATGGGCGTCAGAATATATGAAGAGAGATACACGGCGCGATGTTTGATGCATTCGAGTAGCACTGGAGGTGCAAATTAGTAGAAACGAAGAATAAGAGTAGACGGAGGCGAGAATGGAACGAATGAAAACAACGCGAGGCTAGAGATTATTCGAATGAGAGCGATTCGGTGACAGCGTGATGGAAATTCATGTGCGTGTGGTACAACGCAACGAGACGCTAGAATGGTTGAAATTATACCAGCAGTTATTTTATGAAAATAAACGGGTAGATATCTTGAAACTCATTTAGAATCTAAAACACAATATACATTATCATATCAAAAACATAGTAAAAGGTACTGTTTATTCCTTCTAAAATTCACTTATCTTCTTACATGATAATACAGGCAATGAATAGTGTCGAAAATTGTCTAGTATCATTCAAAGTGAGGATTGTCAAAAAATGTATCGATAATTGGTGTATTTACCTTATTTTTCGAACAGTGACAGGGTATACATCACGATGAATTAATAGACAAAACCTACTTAGCGCGATACAAGGTACGTCGATTTACGATAACAACCTGGATAAGGTGACGCGCATAAGTTTGCCGTCGTGGCGTCACGTTTCGTTCTCTCCTGTATTTCTTGGCATTCGAAGCAAGACACTTCTGATCCGTGGGGAAAGGCCGCAGTATAAGAATCGTAGAACGATTTGTTTCCTTCAAATGAGATTGGCAATTAAGCTGCTGGACCTAGCAGAATACTGATAGCTCTTTCGTTTACCCGATCACGCTTCGCTATCCCCTGTCTTCATTCCTGGTAATGTGTTCGCAATGTACCGCATTATTTGCCTCTTTATTATCAAAAAGCATTCAAATTATTCTCATCAGACAATGCCAATAATAAATAAAAACCACCAAACACTGGAATGACACCAGCGTGAAAACGAAACGACACGAAGCAAGATTTTAATGACGGCAACAGTAACACGTTACAGTATCATGTTACTGTAACGTATTACTGTAACATGATATTGTAGCATAATACTGTTCAATTTTTGCAAGTTTGTGTATTGTAATTGTCACCCTCTGCCCCACTGTGCGTCGCAGGCGAAACACGCCGATCGAAGTGTCCTCGCGTTGACTGATTGGTGCAATGCGTACGTGTTGTTTACCCCAATTGAAACTCGATTCATTAACTAGACGAGAATTGAGGCGCGACGCAAATTAACGTGTCCCTACAAATAGTGAAATTAATTCACGGAGTGGATATTATCGCGACATTTACGAATTACTAGCCATTTAGGTGGATTTTGGAATTCGCATAAACACGTGATTGTATTTGCACGACTTGTAATGAGTCGAAGCTGCGTCGTTGATTGCAGATGATCAATTGGAATCGTTTCAACGTGACACATTTAATCTGACAAAATGTCTCTTTATCGCATATGAAGGTTGATGAAAATGAATTCTAGAGTCTTGGGTAGAGTATGATCTTCGTTTCATTTAATTGTGGCGCATCCTTAAAATTTGCTTAGGTTTTACGTGTTGCTTAGGCAATCTTAAATAAAGAAAAATAGATTAAATTGTAAGAGCTGTCTCATAGTATTAGCTACAACTTTGTCTGAAGTAGAAAATAACCAATGTCAGAAAAAATATCGTATCATAAATCTGCGTTCGAAATAACGAAACTTCTGCATTACATGATACGCAATAACTTCACGTAAAATCTCACCTGGTTAAGTCGTCGAGATTCATAACGCTGGGGTAGCAGAGAAAGATGACGAGATCCGACTCCGGTATGTACAACATTTGTCCCTGGAAAAGCAACAAACTTGGTCATGACAGGGGAACGTGCTAATCCATAAACGCAGCTAGAAATTGCGCCATGAACTGTACATTTGCATCCGACGATCAGTACTAACTTTCAAGCGCAGACAGGAGTACTCCTCGGTAGCATCAACGCGCATCACTCCCTTCTTCGTTCGCAGCACGTACACCGTGTTTATGTGGGACAATATGTTCTCGAACGTTAATTCTAAATGTGGCCTGACCTACGACAACGAAGCTGCACGTTTACTTGAATTCGAGATGCACAAACCAAAGTCATATTAAACCAAAGTTGGAGGAACCAATTGTGATTTGCTTTGATTTAAACAAAGATAATTTATATCAGTGGAGGTACTTAGTCTATATCATATCGATAAAAAATTTATTGCATCCAGAAGGAAATTATAAAAATTCATAACCATTTTCAACATTTACCAGAAATATTTCTATTTCTTTACCAAGGTATCATAAAACAAGTAAACAAACCACAAATATTTCATTATTTAATATACATGTAAAGCAATCATTTTAATTGTTGAAATGTGTTTCCATCGTGTGAAACGTTTACTCCAGAATTGTTGGAAGGAAATTGAATTATGCGCGCGCAACGATTCTCAAAGATTCCTTGAGATCTAGTAGGTGAAATTCAGTGACGACGACAGGGGAATAATAATGGGAGGATAATTGATTACGCTCGCGGACACGTGCACGTGCAGCTATGCAAATGGAGTTAAATGGTTCTGTTCCGTCGGTGCGTGTCATATCGTTTGAAACAAACCGCATTTGAAAGATATATGATTGCACGCGCGCATGCGGATCCCCATGAATAATATCAGCCAGTGGCCACGACGTGTCGGACAATAACGTAATTTCGTGGGCCACGCTAACTAATGCGCCAGTTCGTGAAATAAAACGCCATTATCAGTCCCTCGTCGCTCGTTATACGGGTAACCCTACCGCGTAATTGAAATTAAAATGATTTTTGTGGTAGACCTGTATTTCCACACTGGGAAGAGCAATTATCCACGCAAGATTATAGTTATTCGCGGTGCATGTGCAGTTGATGACATTTAGACCTGTTATTTCGACGTCATTTAATTAATAAAACACGAGCGAGAGAAGTAATTGCTTTAGTTGATATAATAAATTGATTATTTACCAAGTGATTATTTCATTTTCGCTACAATGGTATTGGAAAATTGAATGATATTTAGGAATGATTATAATTTACTTCCTGAACTTTGTGTTTTACACAATATTTTTGCTTCGATAAGTATAAATATAATAAATACGGTTTTTTTTTTATTTAAAATACAACTGGATGGTTCTGCGTTCGTTATTCCTCTTTTTCTGATCTAGATTTATACGTTGAAGTAATGGAAAAGATTAATCATCGCGTACACTCCCTACAAGACGCACGAGTTACCGTGAGAACAAGGAGATATGAGAGATTAAATAATAGAAACTCATTGCTACAAACGTGTACCGTGTGGATTTATCAAATTAGAGAGCTTACTCTTAACATCTCATGCATCGGATGGATGAATCGTAGTCGTGTAAACTTACAGTCAGAAGAATGTCGTTCAGTTTGCAATTACCAGAGCACACTTGGGGTATGACACGAGTTATGGTGCAACCAGTTTGGACTATGGTGAGGTCCTGGTTGAACATCAGATGAAACGGGAAAACTCGGCAGAACGTCATGGGGCTCACTTTGGGTTCTGTAACAGATTGCAAAAGGAATTTTGTGGTAAAAAAAGGGATTCTATTGAAGTTACTTTATTTAAGACATTCTGCTTTCGAAAATCGTGTTTTAAGTATAGATCGTGAAGAAATTATTTTTCTAACGAGGGATTACTGTTGAATAAATCGAGTGCTACTTACCAACAGATAAAGTCTCCAATTCAGCTATCATAGGGTTCGAAACTACCCCCGGCCCGGACGTGTTGGTTATCAGAAATTGCACGTGATCGCACTCGTTCTTTGTCTTCAATATCCGCATCTCTACGTCCGTGCCGTGGAGCTTTTTCGCCACGGTCTATGACGATGAAAGTTATAACTCGTTTAATCCCGGTTCGTTTCCGCCTCAGTGAATTTGTTACGACGAAAATTAAATAGCCAACGTCTATCGATCTAACGCGCGTTTAACTGGGGCCAACAAAAACGAGCACCGTGACGCGTTATATTGGCATAAATGTCATTACTATGGAACGCCCGTTTTCCACGATAAAAGCCTTATAGGTAAACGTATGTCGGTGTTTTAGGTACAAATAATTTCCCTTTGAAGGAGAATTGCGACGTTCAGAAAATCCTACACTACCCAATTGCTGATTGTTTCTAGAAATTATGCCCAGTTCGTTGATTTTACGAAAAACTGTATTTAAAATTTGTCTACAATACTAAATAGAAATCAGTGAGGTCAAAGATGATGGAATGTTAGCATAAGATTAACTGAACTCTGTTTTCTATGAAAAATAGGCTTTCTATAATAGAATAGTGATATTCCAGTTGAATAATTTATACGACGATACTGAGCGTAAAATAGCGTCCAGAATCGAGTTCCAGAATATTAAAATGAGAAGATGAATCGGCCAGTCCAGTGCCTGTATCAGAATTCCCTGTGGGATCAAACTTTTACGACCTATCGATCTTCTCCATTTGCTGATATCCGCTCTCTAAAAAGGAACGTCACCAAATCGACGCATCTCAATTTTTATGAAGTATCGTGCTTTAACATAGCGAGTAAAGAAATCACAAAATAAATGTAAGAAAGAACACTGAGTATGTGTCTAATATTTTTCAAGACTCAGCTTGTGATTCAATATTCACCAAACTTGAACGAACTTGTGTTTCATGTGTCAGTTCAAAATAGCCGCTAGAAAGTTATTACTAACATCTTCATTTGATTTAACAGGGTCACCATTAACCCATTCACTGCCAGACAAAGCGTTTTGCCTTAGGCGCCAAGATTTAATACAGATGTGTAATCTAGGTTATTATTTTGATAATAAAAAATGATATTAAATTTATTATTTTAAATAGAAAATTTACGATCTCCTTTTGCAATAATTCGTAACTCAAAAGGCTACGCTGTGTAGCATAACTATAGCACCAGCTATATTCTTAAATGTTTCGAACTTTTAAGTTCAGAGATCAATGTAAAAATCATTATTAATCGTATCCTTTCAGCTCATATAATTGATCTTTCTTCGTTTCTGCTCAAAAGTCTGAAATATTTAAAAATATAGGGGTGCTATAGTTATACTCCGCAGAGTATAAACTTATCCCTTGAGTAATTACAATCAATTTGAACTACGAGACATCTCGTAGTTGGTAGTGAATGGGTTAATCGCGAAACCCTGAATTATTCCATTAACAATATTATCTATCGGGTTATACTTAAAGATTTTCGGTCACCAGTTCAGATGGCCCAACGTAGTAATTTTCCTAAAATACCTTAACGATACCAATGACGATATGCTCCAAACCAGGTCGATCGGAGTAATAATGCAATATAAGCGCTCCATCATCTGGCCTCTCTGTGCAACGGAAAGAGGGCGCCCTCATTCCAGGATACAAAGTGCCTAAATGATCGTGAAGGGCGTCCAAATTCTGTAATTGAACGTTACCAGACTCTCGTTAGTTTGTTAGTGTACTGAAACTAACGAAGCACATTATTTCATCAGCGCGCGAAATGTTCCGTCCATAACTTGCTTTCAACAATCAAAATTTACGTTTGCTGGTTGAAATGCGTGATCATGCACTATAATACCTGTCGTCTGGTCTCAGCGCAACGTGCTATTCGTTACAATTACATCACGTGGAGCGCGGAAAGCCAGTGTAACGACAGGAACGTAAAGTACCTTAGATGGAATCATTAGGAAACAAATAATTGTTGGTTCGAGTTATTCCTGACCTATTCGCAAAATTGAATTTTAAGCGTTCTTCTGAAAAGTTCAAAGATTAATTTTTTTCTGACAATTTTATCGACGAGTACACCCATCAGGGTGGATATAATCATTGTTTTCATTTCATGGAAATAAAATATCTTTGTTCGACGTGTACCGATATAGGATGAGAACAAACTGCCTGTACGTGACACCTGACTCGCAGAGAACCGGAAATGAAACCTAGCGGAAGAAAAACGCCACGACTGATAATCTCGTTCCGCGACGGCGTTCCATTTGTTAATCACATTGCGCGCATTCATCGCGATAGACGTTTCTTGTTACGCGTGTGCGACTTTCTTCAATTTTACTCTCCGCTCAAACGCATGTTTTAACTACGGTCGTTAAATGTGTTAGGTTGAACGAGTTAAAGTCATTTTATTATAAATTTTAATCGCTTTATTGACCCAAATGGAACGCGAGTATCGTTCCAACAAGAAAGCAACAATTTATTGATCATTACGTATGGGCGAGAAAATTCGGCGCGATCGAGAACTGGCAATAACTCCACAGTTTGTATTCTGTCCGCGTGAACGAGTTTATGCGTTTTTTGTCCAATTACTCAGCTACACGTTGCGGCAATCGCTAACCGGTCGGTCGTGTCTCCTCGGAACGGGTATCCAGGGTTTAGAAATGCATCGAAAGCGGAATGCGCGAATGAAAATTCCGCGGTACGCAGGTGCACCAGCGGGGATGGGCACATTCGAATGATTTTATAATAGAAATACATGTGAATTACTGAATATATGTATTAGGTTCATGGATCAATCGTTTTCAACCTTTCTAATCTTTTAAAAAAATCATGTGTTGAAAGCCTTTCTGAAAAATAATATTAATGTGTCTATTAATTAAGTAGGAACGTTTATCACAGAGTGAGTACGAATGAGCCGTGACTATGGAAGAACTAGGGCATATTTGGAATTTTATAAAATGCCAACTATTCAAGATATTAGTTTGCCGTTCACTGCACAAATCGATTAACTCCACTTTAAAAAAATCTTTAAATTAAGTGTCAAAGCACTTGGTATAGCCATAACTTTTTATATTTATAATAACTTTCCTGAATAATAAAGATTAACACCATTAAACGACAAACATTATTACATCGTATTATTATTTGTACATTATTTCATCGTATTACTCAACTTTTTCTTTTATGGAGTTAATCGGTTTATAAAATGAACGGTTCAAATGTAACTTTTACATGAATTTACAGGCGGATTAATGATTAATCCTTTTCCCTATATTTTTCTCTGATTCCAGAGTTATTCGAGTAGAAGCTAGCGCAAGAATTTTTAGATTGTCCCATTCCATCGGAAAGTTCTTTGATTTCAATGCGAAGAATGCCATTTGTACCCAATGTGCCTTGATGTCTCGAAACCTGGAGGAGAGAACGACCATGGAAATAAATAAAACGCGTTGAAACGCAACTTGGCAGAGAGCTGCGATCGATCTGCCTACGTATCATCATTTCTAGAGACTTTCACTTCCAGGCCGCATGGAAACGGAATCGCAGGAATCTCGATGTCGCTCGTCGCACGCGTCGCTCCCAGGTGATATTATTTAGCTTGTCGCGAAAGTGAACTTTGAAACAACGACGCGCCTACGCTCGATTTACCTGTAAGAAATCTCTAGGTGTCGCTCCCAGCACCTGGAGGATCTTGTCGTAGCCAGAGTCTTGGCAGAACTCGAAGAACATCCGACCGAACAACTCCAAGATCTCATCGGCTGGAATGTCTAAAACAGAATAGATTCTCCATGGAATATTTGATTCGATTAAAGTTGACCCATTCACTGGCAACTACGAGATGTTTCGTAGTTCAAATTGATTGCAATTACTCAAGGGATAAGATTATAGCCTTCTGAGTCACGAATTATTGCAAAAGAAGATCGTAAACTTTCTTTTTAATCCGTTCAGACCTTAATTATTTTTTTTCTCGTACTAATGTAATTTAATTTTTAGGGTTAATTCGGACTAAAATTAGTATGGAAATTTTTTTTAAAAATCTTTATAGTGTAGTTTTTGAGGAAAACTGGTCTTTCTTCATGAGCACAAATAAGGATATTCGCCCTAAACGATGGTGTCGGCGATTTTTAAATTTTGTGTCCTCAATTGTGGATACCCAGTATGAAAGGGATAAAACAACAAATTTAATATAACTTTTTATTATCAAAATAATTGATCAAAACCTAGATTACACATCTGTATTAAATCGTGGCGCCCGAGCCAAAACGCTTTCAATTTGCCTATCAGTGAATGGGTTAACCAGACTCCAAGTAATTATTACTAATGAGACTTCAGATTTTTCAGTGATTCAACCTAGAAACTATGTTGTATTCGTTCAAATTTGTGAAAATGTACATACTGAGCCTATTGACTGCAGCTGCTATAATGTTGTATGTAATTTCATCGTCATAAATCTGGCGAACCAAGAACTGTCCATCCATATTAACAGCCGCATCTTTCCTATATTAACAAAACGTGAATAAACAAGTTAGTTCTATTTAAAGTCCATTCAAACTGAAAAGAATTTTCGCATGCATATTGTCGTCCATGAGTTTGGACGAAATTTATAAGTTGCGATGTGACCTCGAACTTCAAGACAGAGCTAAGTATAGGATTCATAAAAGTTTCCAAAGTTGTTTCACGTTATTATGCTAATCACGTAACGACACTTCGCACTTTCTATCGACAGTGCAAACGTTCGAAGAGCCGAATGTACGATTATACAATTAGCGAAAGGTTTGTTTACTACTATGTTGCGTTCCATTTTAAAAGTAAGCGTCGCAGTGAAATTAATTGCCGGGGTTAACGCGTCTGAACAAAGTAAATACTTCCGGGTCTGGCAAGAGTCGGAGTATTTTAACAGGTTGCTAAAACCTCTTCGCGGTTTCTATCGAGTTCATCAAGTAAAGCTGAAAGCCACTTCAACCGTTTGACATGGATATGAGCTGTCACGCCGAGCACGCCTGCAACGTTTTCATGAAATTTTTCGAGAGCCTTTCCTGTACCTAAATGAAAGCAGGAATTCGCCTCAAATGGAACGTGCAAATAACTTTGAGATGGTGCGCATGTGTAAATTCTTGCTCGAATTTATCATTATCAGACAAATCATGCATGTTTCGATTCATACAGTCTGTTCGAGAACGAGTTCGAGTGCGTAGAGCAAAACTTTTCCTTGAAAATCGATAGAGGAGAAAATCGAACGCGACAAAACAGCGGGATCACCCCACCTTGATGCTTTATTATCAATAAGTTGTCCAGTCACCTCCATTGTTAATAATAATCTGGTATCTCCGGAGCATACTTTCCACTAATTTAATAGCATAGCCTTGGGACAAAGACCTCCATATTAATCGAATCTGTCGATATAGCTGTTTCACGGACCAGATGATCTTTTACCCTCAGAGCTTGATCTTCATGATGGATGAACGTGCCCAAAAATAAGCTTCGTTCGAAAAAATTACATTGTCCCAATCACATTCTAAATTTTCTTTCCCCCAAGCGAAACTTTTTTGATGACGAAATATGCTGTACTGTGATCAAGCTGTCCCTCCATGACTCTGCTGTCTTGTCACGCTCGAATTTCTCTTTATTAATTTCCAAAAAAGTTTCTCCGTACACGCTCTTCTCGAACAGACTGTAAGTACATACGAGAAACGTATACAATAAAATCACGAAAGACGATGGTAACATACAAAATTGAACGATAAAATGGTGGAAAGAAAGTAAACGAGAATTAAAAGTAGAATGACAAGGAGTTAAAAAGATCTTCTCAATTGTTGTATCATTTGTATCATTCTACTTATAATGTTATGGTTACCCTTCATAACTTTGTCATTCCTTTTTCTATAAATAGTCGCGTTTATCACTAACGATGAGTAGGAAGAATTATTTGAAATTCTTAATTAAGAAACCATGGTATGATAGAGTTAACCTCACTATGCCTTCGTTTAATAAAACTAAACATAATTGCGTTTGACAGAATCCTGGCAATCTAAAAAAAAAGCAGCTGAAGAGAAGTTTTTCCTAGTCTTCTAGTAAACCATTCTGCATAATACTCATTTCAAAAATCCTTTAACTTTCAAATGAAACATTGTTTTTGAGCGACTGCACATGGTGATAACATTTGTATGCATCGAGTCAAACAGGACAACGTACACGAAACGCCCAGCAACAGATTCTGCATTTCCCAAAACACGTGAATGAGATCTGTACAATTTGTATCGCAAAATTTGTAAACACGCCGTCCTCGAGCTGCTGTGGAACGTCATTTAGGACGGCTAAAGTGACCCCTCTTGGGCGAGCTTTCAAGAGTCATCGTCATACCGTACTCTCAACAGAGGTAACCCACATTCCGGTGCCTCTCGTGCGAAATTCTCGCAAACAATACATGCCTCGTCACAGCATGAACCAGTTATTTTATTCAAAATTAGAAAAAGACGTTATAACGCTTATTCCCACAGAATAACACTCGTTCAATCAACAAACCGTTTAAAGTTTTCATTTTCACGATTAACACATTCGCGATCGCTGACGTGAATTCACGTCACTTGAAATTCTATTCCCGATTATGAAAAAATGATGAAAACCTTTTTATTTAATACACTACATATTTATAACATTGATATTTCAAAACATATTTTGTAGTTTTTATCTTCGCCGCAACGATCCAGCTTCAGAATTTTATTACTGTTAATAATAAAATTTGTACAGAATTTTTCAGAATGAAATTTTGTTTAATAAGCAAAAAACATTGAATTAAGAATAATGAGATTGGTTCATACCGCCTTAATCGCTTTTCAGATGCATTAAATTGCTACAAGGCGGACATCTCTTTTACACTTTGAAGTTGACCTTGTTTTCTTCGAACATGGCGCGAGGATAAGAAAAGCTTATTAGATCTTCTTAGACAAGGGAATATCATGAGAGAAGAAAGTTGCGCTACGTTCAGTCTGAAATAAATTTATACAGCATAAAAGCGTACTGAACGTGTTTTCTTTCGTGCTCTTTGATAAACATTTTAACGCGATGAAAAGTCCCATCAAAGCTTGTCAACTGAAATAATGTTATGCCAGTTATTCTTGAACTAGTTTTCGAATTCAACGATGCTTCAAAATATTCGCAGACAAGCTACGGTATATGCAAATTAAAGGATGCAAATTAAGCTGTAGTACGTGTAATAGCAATAAGTGGAATAATATCAAGATAATACGTGCACCGTCGACTAATTGGAGAAGTAGTTTGTTAGCGCAGAGGTTTGATGGTGTAAACAACTTTCTTTAGCATCTGTCGGGTAACTCGAATAGATGAACGCGCTTATGGCTGTGCTGCGTCGAGGAAGGAAAAGAGCATCACGCTGGAACAACGTCGCGAAGTGCAATTACCGCGCAAAGACAGAAAATCGAATTAAGAGGCTTCCAAGGAGCTGTAACCGCACTTAGAACGTCGACTTGTACTTGTTATCAAACTAGATAGTATGTTACCCCCTTTCCGTTCCGGGGAATGTCAATATTGTACCCGAATTTACCAGAGACTTCGATTAAAAAATTCGTTTGATTCAACTTGTCTTTTTTTCATGTAACACAATATTAACAAAGGAAAAAGAAAGGTCTGTTAAATGAAATTAAATTGACTTCGATGTTATCTTTAAATGTATTAAAAGAAAATTATTAGTTTGATTTTGATGATTAAATTTATTCATAAGGATTAAATTATGAAGATAGAAAAAGAGAAAAATACTAATAACCCACATTCATATTAACATCCATCATTAAATACTCTAACATCGCGAATATGGACTCTAAAAATAGACTTGAACGTTCTCGTCGCCGATAAAGTTTTTTCATACTCGCGAAAGTGCGAATCTGCGCGAAGGGTGGACAGTATACGCGGATAATCACGTTCTAACTATGCCATAAATAACCGGGCATTAACATACTACCAAACCGTTTAATTGAGTCTTAGTAAACCCACGAAACTCGGAGTTTACAAGCCGCGCTATAACGAGCAAACAGTAATTTCTGGCAGCCGTAAAAATGCAAACTGTGGAACGCACGAACCAAGAGCATTTGCTTAAGGTTTTCAAATAAATTATTCGACTTAAAGCGAAAGAAGAGTTCCAGGCTTAAAGAGTATTCATTGTAAACGTACGCATGCTTCGGAAATCCTTTCATGAATTTCCAGAAACATAAATATTTTCATTGTTTGCCCCTGACTCGATAGTACGACTAATAAATCTTTTTTCAACACAGAACATTAAAAGTTTCTCATTATATTCAGGTATAACTTCTCGTTGGAGACGAGAAGTCCAATAAAATTTGTTATCTCATATTATTTTTAACACAAGCAGAAAGACGGACGATGAATAACGAATAGAAAACTTCAGCTGTTCCAAACTTCCAAGCTATTTGGTTTCCGGTTCTGTTGTGGACTTTACTGATGGTATCAGGAAAGTTTTAACGAGGGTTTTTTGATCAAAATAAAATACTACGGATAGCATTGTCTTCTACTGTATAATGTCTTTCCTTCTACTATGCTACACTTAACACATTCGCGACTGCTGACGTGAATTCACATCACTTGAAATTCTAGTCCTGGTTATGAAAGAACGATGAAAATCTTTTTATTTGATGCACTACATATTTACAACAGTGATATTTCAAAATATATTTTGTAGCTTTTATCTTCGCCGCAACGATACAAATTTACGATGTCCAGCTTCAGAATTGTATTATTGTCGCCAGTACTCGGTATTAAAAACGTAAAATATCTGCCGGTTGTGAATGTGTTAAGAATAGAATTTGAAACGGTGAATAGTATGATCGAAAATGAACCCAATAAAATAGGAACCTTCCTATTCACTCTAACTAAATAAACAGAATAAGACAAAGTCTCGGAGACATACTGATTCCTCTGAAAACCGTAGAAAGGATATTCAAAGAATATTTCTGATTACAATAAACGCTTTATAAGAGAACACAATTCTTCTCCCCGCTTATTCATCCCCAGAAGTAACGGATTCCTTCATTATTCCCAATGAATGCTCTCGCAAGCCTTTCTTTCTTTCTTTATTATTTTTTTCATTTACCATTTAGCCCCAAAAGTGCGCATTCTGTTGAGACCACCCGTCGCCGTCTTTAAAAATTCTCTGCGAGGGAAGGATTGTCCTTCCAGAGCACGTGTCTCGCGATAATTCCGCGCCCTTTACTGCCAAGAAAACGTTTACAGCGCATAAACCCGCGTTACGAGCCAGTTGGCTGAGCTGAATCCTTTTCGTTCTTTTCTTATAGATTCCATGGTTCGCAGGAGAGTTTCACGAAGTGGTCTCGCAATCTCGAAAGGAGACTCTAAAGGTCCATTGACGAGGGAAACTGAGATCGAATTCCTTAAGTAAAAACGACAGAGGATAAGAAGTTCTGGTACACCGTGACTGTAAAAAGTTCAGCTTGCGGATTGCGCTTCTTATGCGTTTCGGGCGCCTTTGGCACTGCCATTCTGATCCGTCCATCGAGTTCTAAACTCGGAAGAAGGAGGTAAATCCCGTATCAAGGAATCGTAGCGCTACGAATCAAGCTACGACAGGTATAGTTGCAAAACACAGTGTAATATTGGATCGCAAAGACGGCTATATATTAGGTCATCCCAGAAATTCATGCCACTTATACTTCTGCCATTCAAATATATATATGAAACATACTTTTAAATAACTAATGGTAACTAAATTTTAAGCATGACGAGTATACTCGTCATGACATAAAATACTACTTTTTCACTCAATGACGAATATATACGTCAATCACAGCTGATTGGTTAATTTCTATATAAATTAACGAAGACATGATTTAATTAGTACAAAATTTCTGAGATTTATGTCACCAAATCAAACCAAATTGAAGTGTATTGCGTGGATGATATGTATTGCACGTTCGGGAATTTTCATTTGCGCTTCTTACGGTTTCTTCACTTCGAAGAAGTAAAACCCGAGACGGGTTTCCCTCCAGAACGACACAGTATGATTGGTAAACAATAAAACACTTATGCAGCCTGTTCGATCTAGGATTTAAGGATTCGCCCTGTAGACGCAGGTCCGTGGACAAACACCCTGGAACGCGTGCCAATATTTCGATGGCGTGTCGCTGAATCAATACACTCGGAGTATTGGGTAAACAAAAGTTTATTAAGCGAACTTGTTGATCCGACGAGGAGACGAAAACAAGATTTTCCGTTTCTCCGCATATTTTTCCTTTCGAGCGTGCACCTAGATTTGCATTCATCTTTATTTATTGATACGAAGCGATTGAAGAAAAATCTATCATTGGTTCCTAATAATAAATAAAAGTTAATACATCGAAACGCAAACTGATGTTCTACGAGAATAATCTAATATAAAGCGATGCCTTGAAAATACTTGTAGTAATATATACAGATTCTACTCGAGTGTTAAGCGACCTTAAAACGGCCTTCAAAACTTCCACCTATAAAATAACAATTTTCAATATATTCTCAACCATTAGAAACGATTGCGTTAGCGTACGAGTATCGCTCTACGTTTATGCGCGCGTAGAGCTGGGAGCGTGCTTAGGAAGGGTAGTATGAATAGCGTGCGGTGGTAGTAGGAAAGTTATAGAGTCGAGAGAGCATTAAGGAAACATTAAGAGTCTTTTCACGGCGACCCTTTAAGAACGGAATACCGCAGTAAAGGGTAAACGTATCGTAAGTGTGAAAAGAGCAATTGTCCTCTTAGTAATGGAGCCTATGAAATGTCGGCGATGTAAGAAATATTTACCTCAGTTTTAGAAAACAGAACAGAAGTTAGAAACAGAAGTGTGAAAGCACTTCGTTCAGTCATAAGTTTTTATATTTATAATAACTTTCCTGAATAATAAAGGTTGAAACCATTAAACGACATCATTATTACGCCGCATTATTATTATTAATTATTATTATTATTATTTGTTCATTATTTCATCGCATTTCACAACTTTTTGTTGTATGGAGTTAATCGATTTATGCAATGAACGACTCATATATTAATTTGAGTAGCAGAAGAATAAGTGACATGAACTTCTGGGACGTCCTAATAAATTTTGTACTATGTTAATTTCAAACGTACCACATTTTATTTCTGTTCTTATCCAATAATGACGGCATAGGAAATGTAATCTTCAACAAATTCTTGAGCTAAAGCTCTGAATTTTAATTACGACTATCCAAACGTCAAAGTTCGATTTCAATACACTTGCCTCTCAAATTATCCAAACATTACTCAGCCCCGATCTAAAGGTATCATGCGAAACGTGCTCGAAACCAGCATCAGGTTCATTGAATCAGAAATTCAATCATTTCTCCGGTTCCGATTGGGCGGAAAATTCAATATAAATTCCGTCGAGTACTGCAGGGGCGAAGACGAGTCCAGGGTGGATCGGTGAAATTTCAATTAAAGAATCCAAGGGATTCGGGTCACGGATGCATCGAACTTCGTTATTCGCGGCGCGGCGGTGGAGGGAAATGGAGCTGATCGAGCACGGGGACGCACCACGTGGCTTGTGGAAGCGTCTTCTGGCGGTAATCTTTTTATCTACCCAGTGACACACAATAGAACCACCCACGAAAGCCAACGGGCGTGGCTGACAATGGTAAATAAGAGAAACTAAAAAGAGAGTCATGCAGAAATTAAGTTATGTGTATTTCAGAATTGAGCATTGGGTCAAGTACTATCATCTACAAGAATAATAATGGTAATACATCAATGACTAATCGTACTGACTACCGAGTAGTCGCAATAACATTTTAACCAACACTGTCAACACCAAAAGCCAGGAGGTAAATAATCGTGCGAGTCGGCGCGAAACGCGTGCCCACGTTTTACCTACTTTATCGCCTCCCACGTCTCGCTGTCAAAGGTCTTCACAACCAGCAGCTCGAGGGCGTAATTCACAAAACCGTACTGCACAGAAAACAAAGGTTAGATTCTGTGTTTCCCTCCATCAACATCAGTATTGGAACTGTCGCGGCGTGGCTGTGGAATTACATCTGGTCTCACGTGTTCGTTACCGATTGCGATTAACTCTTTGCAGCACGGGTTTTAAAATATATTTTTAAAACATATTCAAGCACAGTGATCCAACAATCCATCCTCACACATCAACACCACCTCGCATAAACACGTTTCCAAATGCACGAAGGATCTATGATTTATCAATAATAAAGTCCTTCCGCTGCAAAGAGTTAACGTCCATCGACTGTCAACAGATCCTGTCGTGTCCTTCGTATGATCGCGTGCGCTCGATCCTTGCTTTCGTCGCGACAGTTCTCCTCATGATTGCTCAACGTACCATGATGATCGTCGAGAAGCTGACTGGAAGACTTTCCTTCGTATCATTCCATTCTAATTGCCATAGAAGCCGTGTTTACCTCGTGCACACGAGCCGCGTACTGGAAAGTCGGTCCGCCTTCCACCAGAGACGATAGGTATCGATTTTCCGGAGCCAACAGCTGCGCCACCTACGTACTAACCCTGTCTGCTCCTCTTCGGTACGTTCTCCATGCGCCTCCTACACCCTATCGCTACCAATCCGCTTTGGCGGCTTGAAATCGACGATATTACCCGCTGGATGAATATATACAAGACCATTATCGCGAACGTACGATCAGTCGTTCAGCTTCGAGTCACGTGGTCCTCGAAAAAGACCATCGTCCATCCTTCGGCATTCTCTTCGATTAAGTTGCGAGGATCTTGATAAGAAGTTTATTTACGCTGCGGAAGCGTTCGGCGTGCTTCCTGCTTGCAAGAACGAGGAAGATGCTGTCGTGCTTCCGGAGGATTTATTTGGGAGAAGAGCTGAGATAGAAGATTGCATAGCATGAGGGGTAGAGAGGTATTGTCGTCGAAAGAAATAGCGTAGAGTTATGTTCATTAAATCTAAAATTAGTGAAATCGTGCTCCATTAAATAGAAATTTGCGTGAGGGGTAGAGAGAGACTGTCGTTGGAAGAAATAGCGTAGAGTTATGTTCGTTAATACCAAAATTAGTGATATCATGCTCCATTAAATCGAGGTTTGATATAAAAATACCTCTAAGCTGCCGTGCTTTCGGCGGATTTAGCTGGGAGGAGAGCTGACAATAAGATAGAGGATTGAGTAGCGTGATGGGTAGAGAGGAATTGTCGTTGGAAGTAATAACGTAGAGTTATGTTCGTTAATACCAAAATTAGTGATATCATGCTCCATTAAATCGAGGTTTGATGTAAAAATATCTCTAGGCTATTCGCATTCCCTTCACTCGTGGTATAAATGACTGAACGAAGGATCCATCTTGAAAAGAATCGTACATTGTCTTGCGACAGACGTTTCATTCAGTCTGAAACAGATCCGTGACCAAGCAAAAGTTATCAGAATCTGTCCACATTCTTCATAGAAGGAAAGATGAGCTCTGGAAGGAGTCATAATCCGTATTGGGTCAGACACTTTACTCAACCTGCGTCATATCTGCGGTCGAGCAGACATTATTCATCAGGATCTGTATTATTATCACGCATAGTATGAAGTGAGAGACTACGAATAATATTAGTTCTATTCATATAATTTAAAGAAACACTTTGCTCTTTTGTTTTAGATAAAAATTGATGATAGTAATTGAATGATATTTGTAAGACTGCATTTTAAGTGATACGAGTCAATATAAATTCCGACATAGGCATTTCAATCATTTCTCTGATTTCAAACCAAGAAAAACTGATGCGTTTCAATACATTCTATAAACGCTTTTACTTTAACATACTTACTCTTTAGTTTTGCTTCTCCGGGAATCTAGAATTTACTAGAATCATCCCTAAGGCCAACTTAAAAAATTGAGTGAAAATGACTCGACGCTATCCAGACTCTACTAACTCACCACGTTCCCTTCCTCTCAAGATGATCTTCCATCCAACCTGCAACATACTGTTTTTGTCGTACAATGAAGAAGAGGGTATGTCGTTGACTGTCAGTCGGCTTTCGCATCCGGAGAACGATTCGTATTCGGGGTTGGGAGCAATGGCGACAGGCGGATTAAATTTGTATTAACGACGGTGGCGCGGGAAACTGGAGCGCGATGATGTTTCAACGGAACGATCCGCGTCTCGAAATCTCGACTTCGAGACGCGGCAGCGAGCACGGCTTAAATTGTAATTAGAAACGAAGGCAGGAATTCGTAGCGCTTCAGCTGTTTCCAGAGGCGAGCTTCTCTATTAAAGCTTCTCGCGGACTGGGTGGGCCTACTTTCGCGGCGTGCATTGTCGTCTGAAGTTGAAACGAAGAAAGCCGGAAATTGCCAGCCCCTTTCACAGGGAGCATCGGTGGTACGGCTTCATTAGTCGAATTACGGTCGGTAGTTGTGAATCGCGTTTTCCAAATGGGAGTTATGTAAATACTTTCTAGGGTAGAATTCAAGTCGAGCCACTTTCGATGCTTTTTCTACTAACATGCGAGTACCTAACGAAACTATACTAATGCTTTCTATTTAATTTCATCGAATTTGTCTCCTCAAAAAATCTGTTTAAGCATTGTACTTAATATCTTCAAAATGAGTAAAACATACTAGTATTATTATTATTATTATTATCGCTATTATCATTACAATTACTGTTATTACGTTTTTATCACGCAAATTAGAACAAACTGTACATATCACACCAGAGCAATTCCATAATTGTGCAAATGCGACGTAGAAATCCTCGAAATCTGCTTTTGACCTAACCTCAAAGTTACACGAGTATAGCTATTTATACAATACGCGTGCAACGGCAACTGCTTTCCAACGATATAATTGCATCATATTTAATGAACTACTATAATAATATTAATATTTCATACGCCACGTAACAAAAATTACTCAGCGTGTAAGTATAATGAACAATACTTAATTCACGTATCAAAGAACACACTCATTAGCATCTATCTCAATCACGTTGGAAGGCTGTCGTGGTTACCAGAGTGAAATTTCCGTCGTTATAAATTACAAGCAGCTCGTAACTCGACACTACCACCAACAAACTAATTACAAAGCGAACGAACGAGAGATGCACTCCTATATTATCCAGAGATTTTCTCGTTCCAGTGCCAAGGGTTTTTAATTAATTCACGTGCTGAATTCGCCCCTCAATTATAAAGCACTTTATGTAAAATATGTACACATTTAAGGAGGCTCGTAATCAGAGAATTGTCTTTCTAAATTTGAAAATGCCAAGAAAGATAGAAACTCTTCAAGTGTGGTAATCTTGTAAGATAGTTCGAACGTGTAAATTGTAGAAGTACACGTGGATACCAATGCTAACCAGTGTTCTTAAATGGACGTTTTCAAGGTAGACAACTATGTTTCAAAGTATTAAGGACCAAATATATGGGCGCGTACAACATCATGTTACTTGGACCTTACTTCCTACCAAGAAGGTCAAACTACACTCTTTTTCTCCAACTCTCTAGAGAGCGAATTTCCAGTACTGCTATAAAATGCCTTGCCTTACACATAACCAGGAGTGCTGCACATTAACCATTTGCCCTCGGAATCATTTCGTTACAGAATATGCAAACAGGAATTATGTCGTATTCCATAATGTAACGATACTTGAGCTTATATGAATCTTTAGACATTCAGGAGCATATTTATGTCAAAAATCAAAATTTTATACTATTTTAATGCATGATAATGTGTGAAACACTCATATATATATATATATATATATATATATATATATGTATCAATAGTTTATACCTTTTAAGTTGCAATCTTAGCCTTTCTTGTTTATCATCACAAATTGCACCATGTCATAAAAAATATGTTCCCATATCTTACTTTCTTATACAGATGCTCTTTAACCTTTTCAGACCTGAATTATTTTTTTTTCTCGTAATAATGTAATTTCATTTTTAGGGTTAGCTTTGACTAAAATTAACATGGAAAAAAGAAAAAAAAAACCTAATTGTGTAGTTTTCGAGTAAAACTGGTCCTTTTTTATGTGCACAAATAAGGACACTCGTCCTAAACGATAGTATCGGTAATTTTTAAATTGTGTGTCCTCAATTCTGAACGCCCAGTATGAAAGGGTTAAGCAAGAAAACTATTGAACAGAAAATTTTCGTTAGAGCTCACCAGTGATGATGATTGGTCACCATTGAGCAGTAGTAGTAGGTAGTGGTCTGCGATGGGTCCATATCGATCGATAGGTCCTCAAAGACTGGATACGTGTGATAAGTTGCTCAGGTTTCGTCCCGTCAAAGGGGAGGGAAGTGATAACAGAGGGTATTGATGACGGGGAAACCTCTTCATCAATATTGACAAGTGTGTCGTCGGATTTGTCTCGTCGTTAGAGCTGGGATTCCCTACACGATCGTTGGTTTCCAGAATCGCGTGCAAAGAAAGAGGTCAGCCTAAAACAGTGAACGCCCAAGCGCCATTGACTTTGCGCAAGTTCGGTTGGATATCGCGCAATCTCAAATATTTATATCCCAGGGGCATCCTCAGCGCGTAGTCGCTGAAATTTTCAAAATTCCACCGAGTCAGGCAGAGAATTCGAGAAAGGATCCCGTTTCACAGCGCTGCGTTAAACTTTTATCCATCCTAATGATGCCCGTTCCTCGTCTTCGTAGTCATTCTTCCGTCTTCTTTTCTATAGAATTCCAAGTAATTGTTCGTCTTCGACAAAGTAAGAATGTCTCCGAGTTAAAGGGATTTCTCATTTCTTAATAAGCTACGTACCGACTGTGAATCGATTTAAAATTTACATGTACTTTATTTAACATTTAAAATAGCTTGATCGTTCTGTTATAACCATCATCGCTATCCAGCATCCAATTTTGGCGATCGTTCCTCGTCACCCTGATTCTTGAGCTATTTTACGCGTCGCTTCCTTTAATCACCAAAATTTCCTTGTTGATCCTCTCGGGCCCGCGGCATGGCTTCGCCAAATCCGCCGTTGGTTGTTAGACTTCTATTACAGCGCGACATGCACGAGACGTCGACACACTTTTCGCAATGGGGGCTGTCACAGATGTTTACCCTCGCAGCTGTCGCCCGCGAGTTCAAAGACGGATCTCCTATATCGGAGCCGCAATATCGGTATATAGGGCACCCGAGGGAATTGCACAGACCTCGGCCCCATTGTGAAAGGCCAAAAGGGCACGATGCTGCACTCCTCTGGTGTACGAAGTACATGGTTACGCGTGGAAATGTGCAAGATGATCCTGGGAAGTGTGATCGTCGCCACTCTTCCATCAAAAATGCTTCGAGATTATTTCACGCCACTCCATCACTTTTTGTGGTGGATATATTAGGTCATCCCATAAGTTCGTGCTGAAGACTGTGGCAATATTTAATAAAGAAAACTACAGGAATGTTATAGTGACGGTATAGTGACTATGTTAGAAAGAAAGAGAGAGAGAGAGAGAGAGAGAGAGAGAGAGAGAGAGAGAGAGGGCACTATTTTTTATAGCACT